GACCTCTGGAGGTCATCTCGTCCAACCCCCTGCTCAAAGCAGGACCAATCCCCAATTTTTGTCCTGGATCCTTATGTGGTCCCCTCAAGGATTGAACTTATAAGCCTAGGTTTATCAGGCCAATGCTCAAACCACTGAGCTATCCCTCCCCCCTTTTGTGTTGATTTCAGTTTTGCTGCTAGAGGGACAGTAAAGTCTCCACAGCAGCCAGCTGGGTTTGTATCAGCAGCAGGACACCTTCAGTGTCTGTCTGTCTCCTCCTCTACTCGGTCCATATAAAACAGTGGAGGTGGCAGGGGCTGGGGCAGTGGCAGGGGCTGGGATGGGTGGGGTGTAGGTTCCCTCAGGGGCTCCAGGAGGGTTGAGCTGAAGGGGGGCTCCCCCCCACACCCACACACCTTTGCAGTCCTTCTGGAACCCATGGTTTTAGGAGAGGCTGAGTCTCTGCTCTCTCTCTAGCCCAGTCTTCTTGCATGTGGTGATGAACACCCTCCCCCCCCCCATCCCCATGCGCCTCATCTTTAAGACTGTCTGTGTCCTCTTCTGCCATGTGCCCAGGTTGAAGAATTCCAGGCCCTTCCCACAGTCTGGCTTCTGGGGAAAGAGTTCATCATTCCATGGGACTGGACCAGCTGCTGAAAGGCCTTCCATTGCTCAGTGATGACTTCTCAGCCATATTTCAGAGTAGCAGCCATGTTAGTCTGTATTCGCAAAAAGAAAAGGAGTACGTGTGGCACCTTAGAGACTAACCAATTTATTTGAGCATAAGCTTTTGTGAGCTACAGAAATCTTATGCTCAAATAAACTGGTTAGTCTCTAAGGTGCCACAAGTACTCCTTTTCTTTTTTCTCGGCCATAGTAATTGAATAAGTGATCAAGGAAGCTGTCTGGAATACATAACCACCTTGCGCCCTGCTTAAGGGTTGACATGTGCTTAGCAGCCCGCTCAGACAAAATGGCTGTTCTAGTCCAAAATGGAGATTATACTACAAAATTAAGCTCACAAGTTTACTGAGACTTATTCCTCCCCCCCCCCCCCCCGCCCAATCTAAAAGTGGGTTACTGTTCCATACTTAACACTGAGTCATGTTGTTATTATTCCTTCACAGGACGGTGGTGGGTGAAAAACTTGAGTCACCTTTGTGAAGTGTTCTGAGATCTCCAGAAGAGAAGACACTGTAGAAACGTAATCTACCATTCTGGTGTGGGGTGCTGGGGCTTTTCCTTAGCAGACAATTAAAAACAGGCATCTCTGTAAAGCTAGGCTTCACTCTGACGAGGCTCACCTCGAACTCACATATGCCAGCTGTTGAACAGCACATGCCTAGAGCAGTTTTTGAGTATACAGATTTCTAAAAGAGAAAAAGAGAAGGGGCAGTTTGGCACGGAAAGCCTGCAATGTGGGATTTTCAAATCTCATTGTCACAATCACAGAGCATCGGAGGTGTGTTTAAAAGCCCAGTCTGAGCCACCCTGTTGTGCAGGAGACCAAGGCTAGCACATGACACAGGTGAGCAGCACTGTCTCAGTCCCCTCATTCCCCCAGGGAACACTTGCTTTCAACAGGCACAAACAGACAGCGAGAGAGAGCTGTACAGAATATATTAGTCTCTTCCTCCACCCGAGAGGGAATGTGCTGCATCTGCGACTGAAGACTGGACAGACGCAGGCTGATAAGAGGAAATAATAGAGAGACACTCACAGACACAATGCAATCTTAGGATGGAAGCTATGAACGTGCCTACTAGATGACTAGGGGCAAACCCAACAAAGTAAACAAGCTAGCTCGGGGCTGCTTTGCTGTGTTCTGGTGTCTGGCATAACAGTTACAATCCCTAGTCCCCTTCAATTTGATTGGTCAGAGCAGCCTGCCTTTTGTGATTTTTCCCCTTCGGACTGTATTTATTTCACAACCGTTCAGTTTACTTTTGGTAAAAATATTGCACTGCAAAGTCTTTGGTGGCCTCTGTGGTTTAAACAGCCTGGATTACAGACTTGGCAGACAAAGCCTGCAACAGACAAGCTGGGAATGTTAAATCACAATGATAGTAAACAAGCACTTTCAGCTGGATTATTTTTTCTCAGCAAAGTGTTAAATCTCCTTTTTCGGTGTGTACCAAGTCAGGATCATTGTGTTCTGGTTTGAAATGTACATCCCTGAGCTCTGAAAGAATGTAGATTGGAGTTTGCTTGAGCTAGAAACAAGATCAGTTATTGAAAGGGATTGTTTGACTATAGGGTGGATAGAAAGCTGTCTAGATCGTTGGGCTCAATGGGTAGTGATCAATGGCTTGATGTCTAGTTGGCAACTGGCATCAAGCGGAGTGACCCGGGGGTCAGTCCTGGGACCAGTTTTGTTCAACATCTTCATCAATGATGGGATTGATTTCACCCTCAGCAAGTTCACGCTTGACACTAAGCTGGGGGGAGAGGTAGATAAGCTGGAGGGTAGGGATAGAGGCCAGAGTGACCTGGACAAATTGGAGGATTGGGCCAAAAGAAATCTGATGAGGTTCAACAAGGACAAGTGCAGAGTCCTGAACTTAGGACAGAAGAATTCCATGCACTGCTACAGGCTGGGGACTGAGTGGCTAAATGGCAGTTCTGCAGAGAAGGACCTGGGGATTACAGTGGAGTAGAAGCTGGATATGAGTCTACGGTGTGCCCTTGTTGCCAAGAAGGCTAACGGCATATTGGGCTGTATTAGTAGGAGCGTTGTCAGCAGATCGTGGGAAGTGATTATTCCCCTCTATTCGGCACTGGTGAGGCCACATCTGGAGTAGTGTGTCCAGTTTTGGGACCCCCACTACAGAAAGGATGTGGACAAATGGGAGAGAATCCCACGGAGGGCAAGGAAATGATTAGGGGGCTGGGGCACATGACTTATGAGGAGAGACTGAGGGAATTGGGCTTATTTAGTCTGCAGAAGAGTGAGGGGGGATTTGATAGCAGCCTTCAACTACCTGAAGGGGGTTCCAAAGAGGATGGAGCTAGGCTGTTCTCAGTGGTGGCAGATGACAGAACAAGAAGCAATGGTCTCAAGTTGCAGTGGGGGAAGTCTGAGTTGGATATTAGGAAAAACTATTTCACTCTGAAGGTGGTGAAGCATAGGAATGGTTTACCTAGGGAAGTGGTGGAATCTCCATCCTTAGAGGTTTTTAACAAAGCCCTGGCTGGGATGATTTAGACGGAGTTGGTCCTGCTTTGAGTAGGAGGTTGGACTAAATGACTCCTGAGGTCTCTTCCAACCCTAATCTTCTATGATTCTATGACTCAACTACCTTAAAGAGTTACTTACAGTGAGCCTGAAGAAGGTTTTGCAGTAGTCTGAGTAGCTCTTTTGTCTGCTGGTCTATGCCAAACTATTGAGCAAAGCTGGGATGGCTTCTCATATGTCTCACTCTTCATGCAGTGATGGATAGTTCAGACCACACTTACAAGTTCTTCTAGAGCAGAGGTTCTCAAACTGTGGGTCAGGACCCCAAAGTGGGTCAGAACCCCATTTTAATGGGGTTGCCAAGGCTGGCTTAGACTTGCTGGGGCTAAAGCTGAAGCCTGAGGTCTTCAGCCCAAGCCCCACTGCCTGGGGCCAAAGCTGAAGCCTGAGTTCAGGTTACTGGCCCCCTGTCTGGGACTGAACCCCTTGAGCTTTGGCCCCGCAACCCAGGGCAGCGGGACTCAGGCAGGTGTGGGTTTTGATCCCGCCTCCTGGGGTTGTATAGTAATTTTTGTCAGAAGGGGGGTCACAGTGCAATGAAGTTTGAGAACCCCTGTTCTAGAGCTTGATCTTGCGAGGTGCTGAGCACTCCGGCCCAGTTCAGGAAAGCACTTAAGCACATGAAGAGTCCTAAGTCAGTAAAACTAATCACATGATTCAAGTTAGGTACTGCTTAAGTGTTTTGAGGGATTGGGTCAGCGTGCTCAGGACCTTGCAGGATCAAGTCCTTTTATGCAACTTATTCAGTGTAAGAGCAAGACAGGGCTCATTTCCTCGGTGGTTTGGAGTCTTTGAGATTGAAAAAAAAAATTTTTTTTTTTTTAAAATCTTACCTTCTTCCTCCCCCAGAGGAGGGCCAATGGGGTAAGATGTGAGAAGGCACTCCTTGCACCTGCTTTCTGGGGATAGTCCTTCCTGTGCTGTCACAAATGAGGGGCATCGAATTCACCCCTGAAGAGGGCATGAGGACACAGCTGATACTCACCATGGACTCCACAATCTTCGGATTACCACATCTGATGCAGGACGGTTCTACTTCCCACTCTGCACCTTGCAGAAGGGAGATGTTGCTCCTACCTCTGTCCATGGCATGCAGGATCTCTGCACCAAGGCCAGTTTACTCCTGCTTGGTGCAGGGGTGAGGATTTGGACCAATTCACATACTAAAATATAAAACTACTTACCATGCCAGGTTACTCTTGTTTGGTCACCAGCTCAGACATGGGCTCCATTTATACTGAACTCTATGCTGAGTCTGTATGCTTTGAGTGAAAAAAAGACTGACTTTGGAGCAAAGATAGCTATTTTGACTGGGAAAGCTAAAACATTCAGGCTTTGGCAAATTTAGTGTACAAAGAGTAATTTTGTTATAAACTGCCACTAATTTGACACTGGGGAAGGCACAAAATGACTATTTTCATGGTCAATTCCACCAATTCCAACTAGTGAAGTTGGCTCAGCTGACAGGCACTGTATCAGCCCAATAAACCCCTTAACCATAGCTGTATAGGAGTCAAATGGCTGTTTTCTAATCCCTCCTGTTTATTGATGCAAGGAGCCCAACTGTTTATGCCAATAGCATAAAATTCAGTATTTCAACCTTTTTTCCTAATTTGGCACAAAAACAAATGTTAAAATATCAGAATTTTCCAAACCATGGAAATTCTGATTTTTGACCAGTTCTAGACTGGTATAATGGGGTCACTCACAGGACTGTTCAAATCACTGCTGAAAGTTGCAGTAGGTGCAAAGTTGTACTATAAATAACTCAAATAGATTCAACTATTGGTATAATAGATTTTTAATACAGGTATGTATTTATGGCGTTACATCAAAGCAATTTCATGAAGATAGATTTTTGATTTTACAGCACTGTAAAATAGATACATACAAATATAGGACAAAATATGGCAATTACAGTATTTAGTATAAAATCTAAACATGTGCATTCAAAGGGAAATATACTTAAGTAACCTCAGTAGTAATTTAAACTCAGTAGTTGGCTGCACTTATCCTTACTTTTTTCAGGAACTGGAAATTATTTTAGCCACACAACTCCTATTAAAATTAATAGGTGGCAAAAATTCCATTGGAACCCTCTGAAAAGTGAGGGGTTACATTTCTGCATTAAAAACCCAGACACTTAAGTGCACTGAAATGTGTTGGGTTCCACAGTTACTCTACTGGCCACCCAGGCGATAGCAACTTCAAAAGGCACTCATGAATTAGACGACAGTAACTCTGGTCCACAGGCATTTTGATTCTTGGTATGGTACAGCAGAAAATACAGTAATTCATACAATATAAAATGATATAACTTCTGTCATAGTGCCTTCACATTCAACTTATATTGCACAAGGTTATATATCCTGTGTAGGCTGTGACAAAAATCCAATATTTACATTTTGTGTTTGTTAAAGAACAAACGCGTTGCTTTACGGAATGTTTTTTGACAGCTAGCAGTGAGTTTTAACACTTTCTGTATTTCTAAAAAGCAATCGAAAATGTACAAAGTTTCTATTCAATTCAGTGAAGATATCACTTTCTTCTCAGCTACCTTTCTAGTACACATTTTTGGTCCTTTTAACATATTCAATTTTTTTAAATTAAAAATATATTACATTACATCTCATGCTGCCATCTGAGTGTAGAAGTTTGCCTGAGCATGTGGTAGCCAAAATAACTAGCACTTTTAAATAAATAAATATTTAATTTCTAAAAGCAGCAGTAGCTTTGGAGTTCTGTAAACAAATTGCTATGAGAAGTTTATAAAAAGACTCTGGATTTGGCATGTTGAGACTTTACTTGGCAATATTTTAGAGTTATATGAACCTGCTACAGTAGAAAACAGTTTATTAGGCATATCACATAATCAGGCTGAAAAGAAATGTAAAAGAATACTGATTATTCCTTATATCATATCTGAGGATAAATAAAAATGATCATACACCAGAAAGAGTATTCTTTTACATAATCAAAACATACTCCCTCAATTCTACTTTAGGTGAGACTAAAAGGAATGAACAAAACACATACAAAACATGTACAAGATGTACAGGACCCAGAGATAAACAGAAGAAAACCAGCTTTATACATTTACGGATATACTAATTTAAACAGCATTGATATCTTAGGCAGTTATAGCTCACCAGAATAAGACCAATATTTAAATTTTCAGTCCAAATTTGAAGAAGAAATGTTCCAAATGTACGCTTGGTACAAACAAATTCAGTGCAAAGCACTAGCTCTGATGAAATTTTGCTGGCACTTAGCTTGCCCTAAATTCCTGTTAAAACATAAAAGAGTTTGTATATAAAAACGTATGCATTCATAAACACACACCCCATCTACAATCTCCTCTACATTACAGACCTATATTGGTATAACTACATTGCTCCGGGGTATGAAAAATCCACGCCTGAGTGAGTCAGTTATACCGACCTAACCCCCAGTGTAGATAGCACTATGTCAATTGGAGAGCTTCTCCTGTCGACATAGCTACCGCCTCACAGGGAGATAGATTAACTATGCCGTCAGGAAAGCTCTTGCCCATTGGTGTAGGAGTATCTTCACTTAAGTGGTAGAGTGGTGCAGCTGCACCAATGGTACATTTTAAGTGTAGACCTGCCCTTGGTATGTATATGCCTCAGCACGTTCTTGAAATTCACGTTAGGTGATCTATTAGAATGTATTGAACCTTTCCTATAGTACAGTTGGAGTTTAGAAGATCAAGTTCACGACTGCATGGCATAGCAGTAGTGCTGTACAAGTGTCATCTTGGCATTTCTCTAGACAGCTTTTTATTCCATATAAAAATAGCCCTATTTTAGCTCCTATGATTAGACACTAATAATTCATGAAAAACAAGGTAAAATTACTTGCCTGCTTTTGAAAAGCACATACAGTTTGCTGTTTATCATTATTGCTGTAATGATGGAACATTTCTGTTCAAATAGGACTTAAGTTGACTGGTTTACCATTGTTACAGACTAAGATACTGAAAGTTGAGAGTGTCCAATGTTGCACCAAACCTAAACATACATGTCTGGCTAACTGCTAATAAATTAAACATTTGCCAAGCAATGGTTAATGTTGTTAGAAAGCAAATACCAATAATTAATACAGCTTTGTTATTATATATCCATATGGTAAGAGCTGTCCATAAATGAATCCATTAAGCTACAACTGTACTATACTTCAACATAAATATGTTAATTTAATTGTTGCAATGAAGTTGGTTTCTCAACAGCCACATTTGCCTTTATCTTTCTCCTCATGTAGCTGCTCAGTAGAGCTGTGTCCATTGGACCGTACTACCCCCTCGGGTATCCATGACTTGTCCACGCACCGTTCCATGCGCTTCATGATAAGGTCAAGCAGAGTTTCAACTGCCTTGGTCACATTAGTTCCATTAGCTGCACTTGTTTCAAAATATGGTATCCTGTAAAGGGGAAAATAAAAAAAACCCCACCATCACAGATCAAGTGAGACCTTCCCTGGAAGGAACGCATTATATGGTTATGGCCATGTGCATAAAAACATTCTCCTTAGAGAATGTCTGGAGAGGTCAACAGAATCAAACAGAATTCAACAAAAGCTGAAATTTAAATGCAACCCTTTGTGACGTGCTTAGAAGCACAAAAGCAGGACAAATATTAATTAAACTAATAACAGCCCGGTGAGGTGGGTATTAACCCCATTTTACTGGGGCATTGGTGGATTGTGAATTCCACAGCGAGCCAGGAAAAAAAAAATCCTGGAGTTCTGTGTTCGAGTCCTTTCTTTTAACCATAGACAGATGCAATTGCTCTGTTGGGCCTCATCTCCACAAGCATTTTACTTAAAACTTCCCACCAAGGCTGCTCTATTGGTGGTAGCAATAATGGAAGTGCTCACATATATGGGCTGCCAAGACATCTTGTACACTAGCTACCAAGGGTGTAGCTGAACTGGTGCAAAGGCAATGCTCATTAAAGGGGGGGTGGGAAATGTATGTACCACAGCCACTGTGCGTATGTGATGTCCCTCCCTCAAAAGTTTCTCTCCAGCAGAAAAGAGCCAAGGACATAACACTCTTCATGCTATTGTATTCCTCCGGCTCCTAAGGACCTCAAGGTCTCAGAGAACAGTTGCCTCTTCAACTCCTGCTCTAGGTGCTTCCTCCATGGGCTCTCCCATTATGTGAATCTCACTATTTCCAGCACAGAGTGGCAGCTGCAAGGAATCCGGGGAGAATGGGCCACTTAAGGATTCAGATTTGGGGCAGTGGCAAACATCAGAGACAATGGGCAGTGCATGTGGGATGGTCAATCATTGTCTCTTCACTGATCTGGATTCCCTGTTCCTCTCAGGACCTTAGGGTGCAAGAAGAGACTAGCAATTCAGGGGAAGAGGAGTGAAGGCAAGATAGGGGACAGAGATAGGCATTGAAGTTGAGGGGAAAAAGCAAGAGAGAGAGAACAGGAGGAGGAAAGCACGTGAAAGCGGAAAGGAAGAGAAAGGACAGGGATGGACAACCTTGAATTGCGCACATTGGAGAAGAAAGATGGGAAAGGGTGACTTGGGAAATGGAGATTTCCTTATTACCAGGAAAGAGTATCATCTCCACAACATCCTCCGTAGTGAAGATGGATACAAAAGTCATCTAGCTATTGTGCAGTGTTCTCCTCAGCTGCTCCTTTTACTCCATGGTAGTCCAGACAACCCACTCTCCCCCAACATTTCTGCTTCTTATATATTTAGTGAACTTCCTGAAAGTCTGTTTAAACCAGGGGTGGGCAAACTTTTTGGCCTGAGGGCCAAATCTGGGTATGAAAATTGTATGGCGGGCCAAGAATGATCACGAAATTGGGGGCGAGGGCTCCAGCTGGGGGTGTGGGCTCTGGGGTGGGGCTGAGGATGAGGGCTTGCAGTGCAGGAGGGTGCTCCGGGCTGGAACCAAGGGGTTTGGAGGACAGGAAGGGGATCAGGGCTGGGGCAGGGATAGGGTCAGAGGTGCGCTTACCTCAAGCTCCCAGAAGCAGCGGCATGTCCATGCTCCAGCTCCTACACAGAGGCACGGCCAGGAAGCTCTGCATGCTGCCCCATCTGCAGGCACCGCCCCTGCAGCTCCCATTGGCCATGGTTCCCGGACAATGGGAACTGCAGGCACAGCGCTTGGGCAGGGTCAGCATGCAGAGCCCCTTGGCTGCCCCTATGTGTAGAAGCCGGAATGGGGACATGCTGCTGCTGCCGCCGCCAGGAGCCACACGGAGCAGGGCAAGCTTCCGGCCCTGCTCTCTGGCGGGAGCTCGAGGGCCAGATTAAAAACATCTAAGGAGACAGATGCGGACCCTGAGCCGTAGTTTGCCCATTGCTGGATTAAACACTTGAAGCTGTGCTCCAGAGCTAAAGAGGGAATAATCCTTGTTTATAACTCCTTCATCTTCTGACACAGGATGCAAACACAGGGGAAAGAATATTCATTTGATGAAATAAAGGAGATGTATTTAGTAAAAAGGTAGAAATACTTTGTTCTCTCAATATTTTGAATCTGTTGTTGGACAAAAAGTCTCTAAGTGAACATACCTTTGTCATGTATCATCTACAAGTCTAGTATAAATTTGCAATATTAATCCAATAAATAGGCTGCATATTAGTGAAATTCTAGATTTTCCCCACTGAAATAAATCCTTCAGGTGAGAGTGGCCCCAGGAGAATAACTGGAAACTTGCCCTAGTTATTGCTTTATACACTGCTCTTCTGGGTCAAAGTCATTTTGACATAAAATTACAGCTCCATCTACAGTTAGTATGTCACCCTGCAAGGATACCTGCACTCATGAAAACTAAGTTACAGTCTCAAAATTGTACACTGTATAACACTGAAAAACACTAACATCTTTTGGGACTGCATGTATAGGTCACACAGCTGCTGAAGGAGTGAGGAGGAGAAAATAAAAGAAGTGATCCATTTAGGAACTGGAGAGGCAGTTTCCACAGACATCAAACTCTTGATTTTCTGTGATCTCTGAAACTTTTCCTTGGGACCAATTCAGGTGGAAAAGGTACACTTTTAATCCTTTGTAAACTACTGCCATATTCCCCATGAAAACTGTTCAGCACAAGAATGTGAAATTCTCAGCCTAGAACAAATAGACAAACACTCGGAAAAATCTCAGGTACTGCCTTACAGGAAGGGCAGATAATTCTGTCATTTACATCTCAGCTATGTAATGAATCACCAAGCCATTCTTATTGCCAACAGAAGAATCCAACAAGTCATGTCTAATACTGTAAGTGTAACTGGCAGCTTCACCCAAGTGAAGAGAGCTAATGATTGTTCCAGACAACATCACACCACCACTTCAACTCCTCTTCTGAAGCTGTGATACACAAAGCATTTTCCTTTCTCCACCTTGACTTGTTACTGCTTTTTATATTTATTGTATGCAGTGTTGTTGTCACCATGTTGGTCCGAGGATATTAGACACAAGGTGGGTGAGGTAATATGTTTTAATGCTCTTTCTCAGGCTCTGTGTAAGCTTAAAAGCTTGTCTCTTGCCAACAGAAGGTGGTCCAATAAAAGAAATTACCTCACCCAACTTGTCTGTCTGCTTTCTATTTTGGCAGCCTCAGTGTGCCAAAGGGTGTGGTTGAATTTTAAAACCAATTTACTTAGGAGGGGTTCAGAGAGGAAAGAGCTGATGACACTTCCATTTTGTCTCATTTAAAATCAGTTATTTCCTGATTATATGAAATGCAAAGAATAAGCAATATGATAAATTAAGCAATGTACACAAGACCAAAGGGAGATGGGGGGAGACTATCTATTGAACAATTTAAAATCTATTAATTTATGGACTTTTTTTAACATACTACATACATGAAAATTAATCCTGACAGCCTGAGGAATGACTCAAGGACCTTGTTGTTACTGGACAAGCTTGCTTTTTTAAATACTTGTATATAAATAAATTGGGCATCTATCAATGGAAATAAGGACAGACTTATTCAGGTGCTAATTATTCACAGTAGAGGAAATGACCAGATGAAATGCAGTTGCAGGAGCAGAGAATATTTTTCCCCAAGAGCTATTTCCCAAGATGTCTTTTCTGGTCTGGATCTGAAAAGAACACATGGACCTCTACTCACAGGCACTATACTTGGTGGTGATAAAAAACACAGTCTCTGTTCCTAGAATGCCTTTCCTGATGAAGCAGAAACAAACACAGGCTTATTATTTGTGTGCTTGGAGGGGGCTTGAGAATGAATCATGTCTAACCCAGCTGCCTAGTTCAAAAGTATACTGCGAATGGGATAGAAGAGTGGTTAGTCAAGCAAGGGACTTGGCCCACCAGGGCAGAGCATATGTATTATGCAGTATATTATTGCAAAATCTGTCCTGGCCCGTTAAAGCCCCTAATATAAAAGGTTTGTTTCAGCCACTGTCCCCAAAGTAGCGGGCTATCACGCAGGCCGAGAGAGCAAGAGGAACCTGAACTTGTACCCAATTTGCCTCTAACATCCACCCTTCTCTCTCTTATCTCCCTTTTGACAGGAAATCAGCAGCCTTCCGCTGGTCCCAGTAAAGTTTGATTATGGTCTGTCCTGGTTTACACTGTCTGCTCAGTTGCATTCAGCTTCCTGTCAGCTAATTTGATCGAACATGTTTGTGAACAAACACAGTAACATTTTAAAATGGAGATGAGGGCTGATCATAACTAGAGCAATAAGTCTCAAACTAGCACTCTTGCTCTCTCTCTTTCCCTCATGTGCCAAAAGTGGATTTTAGCAGTATCCTGGGTGCTAGGTCCAAAAAACTGGGGAGAGGTTCACTGAATACACACACTGCAAAGCACTGGACTGTTGGGCTATGTGTTAAACATGAAAGTGTTAGGAGGAAATGCTGGATCCTTCTGCAGATGATTAAGAAAGACTCAGTAATTCGTCATGGAGCTGAAACAAACGACAGAATTACGGGCCCTTCCGGTAAATACAGAAGCATTTCTTCCTTTTCTTATACCGATAAAAAAGTTTTAAGCCATTAAAGATCACATCATTGAGATAACGTTTTACCAACACATTTCATGAGAGAGGAAATCCTTTTAGTTAAAGAGATTTTGGAGCCTCAAGGAACTGTCTCTTGGGCCCGCTGCTGAGCAACCTACATGCTTCTGTCATACTGCGTAAATCTTCCATTCTCATTAGGTGAAGAAATAGCTAACGTAGCTGAAGGTTAGGAATGCAAGGGTGGAGACTGTAAGAATGAAAAGCTTCAAATGACTTTCACCTGAATCCTTTGGTTGACACAATTATGCTTCTGTTTATACAATTAAAGAGAAATGAAAGCCTGGATTTCTGAGAGACACAAAGGTAACTGGGCAATCATAGGCAAAGGAACCTGTTGGATTAGTAGAGGGAGAGCCCTATTATTTATTTAGGCACAAATTTACAGAGATAAATCATAGGTGGAATTTTTAAAATCTCCTCTCCTGCTGCCATGCATGGTAGCCTTAATAGGTCACCACCATCTGTAAAATGCAGATAATTCTTGCTTGTCTTCTCTTAATTTCAGGTTTCAGAGTAGCAGCCATGTTAGTCTGTACTTGCAAAAGGAAAAGGAGTACTTGTGGCACCTTAGAGACTAACCAATTTATTTGAGCATAAGCTTTCCTGAGCTGTAGCTCACTCCAATGAAGTGAGCTGTAGCTCACGAAAGCTCATGCTCAAATAAATTGGTTAGTCTCTAAGGTGCCACAAGAACTCCTTTTCTTTTCTCTTAATTTGTGAGGTTTAGTTAATGCTGTTAAAATGCTAAGCGTTAAATATTTAATAATGGACTAATCAGTCTCCTAGTGACTGTCCCACTCTAAACGCAACATTTACTTGTAACAGGCATGGGGGGAAATTTTCAGTAGTATCCAGAATGGTTAGCAGCAGCAACAGCTCACTCAGTGAGGAAGGGTCGCTCCTCTTTTCTACCCCATCTTTTGAAGATGTAAGAACATCTCTATTAGTAGTAACTTTCCTCATCCACTTATAAGGACTGAGAACCATAGAGCAGCTCACAGAGTCAAATCTGATCTATGAATCAGCCTTCTAGTTTTTGATTCCCAAATTGATCAAGTTGGTATTTTGACCACAAGATTAACAGACATTTCACCTTCTGCAAGTAATATCAACGTATGAAGTGGCATGCAAAAAGATTTCGATATGCACACACATCATCTACTGCTTCACATTTCCCAAATTTCCATTCCTTTTTATAAAGGTACATGTTACAAAACGATGCTGGTTTGAGGTTAGTGCCCCACAAATAGCATTACACAAGCATGTAAGTTGGAGGAGGAAAAAGGAAGGAAGGATTATTGCACTAAACCCCATTTTGCTCTGTCCCTCCTTAATAAACAGGGTTGACAATTTGTGAGGCTAAGCTTAACTTAAAAATAAGAGTGCCACTGCTTAGTACTGCCTCCAGTTTCTTCCAGAATTTAATGTGATGAACAAATCTGACTAAACGATACTCTTGGGTTTCACTGCACAAGGAAATTAGGTTCTCTGCCTACTGTAGTCATACTAAATACTACAGGGTAGTATTAATTATGATTTTGGCTTTTGACACTGTCCCATATGCAGGGGTGAAATTTAATGAACTTACCGGTACGCAGGGCGGCTGGGGTCCTGGGCAAGGTGGGGAGGCGGCTCTGGCCCCCAGAAGGGGTGGGGCCTCAGGTGGAACGGGGGAGGAGGGGGCTGGGGCCAGACTCCTGCAACCAGCCCTTCAGCACTGCCCAGCCCGCACCGCCTGGGGCTCCAGCTGATACTGCGGCAGCAGCTGGAGCCCCAGGCCCTTTAAATCACTGTTGGAGCCCTGGGGTAGCAGCGGCAGCAGCCAGGAGTCCCAGGGCTCGAGCGGCGATTTAAAGGGCCCGGGGCTGTGGCTGCTGCTGGGAGTCCCGAGCCCTTTTAAATTGCCAGGCCCTGGGGCAGCTGCTCCTTTTGCCCCACCCCACCCCTCCATCAGCGGTCCTGCCAGCGCGGTTGGCTGTGTACCGGCTTTCTTACCAGTACACTATACCAGACCAACTTATTTTCACCTCTGCCCATATGACATTTTCATAAGTAAACTTGGGAAATATGGTCTAAATGCATTACTGTAAGGTGGATGCACAACTGGTTGAAAGACAACACTCAAAGAGTAGTTATCAATAAAGCTGCAAGTATGTCATGGAGGTCAGATTCTGTGACTTTCCGGGACCTCTGGAACTTCTGCGGCCTGCCCCTGTGCCTGACCCCAGGGCCATTGGAGCAGCTAGGGCCCTAGGGCCAGCTCCACTGCCCCCCCCTCCAGCAACGGCAGCAGTCCTGGCACCAGCGGTGCCCCCAGAGCACCCCAGAACACCCTAGATTTAGTCAGGAGTATATAGTACATGTCATGGACAGGTCACAGGGCCATGATTTTTTGTTCATTGCCCCATGAATGACCTGTCTATGACTTACACTAAAAATACCCTTGACTAAATTTTAGCCTTAGTTATCAATGGTTCACTGTCAAACTGAGAGGGTGTATCTAGAGGGGTCCCACAGGGGTCTGTCTTGCACCCGGTACTATTCAATATTTTCATTAATGACTTGGACGACAAAGGAGAGTAGACTTCAAAAAACTGAAAATGAAATCAAGCTGGGAAAGACTGCAAGCACTATGGAGGGCAGGATTAGGATTCAAAATGATCTTGATAAATCAGAGAATTGGTCTAAAATCCATAGGATGAAATTAAAGACAAGTGCACAGTGCTGCACTGACAAAGAAACAAATCAAATGTACAATCACAAAATGGGGAATAACTGGCTAGGCAGCAGTACTGCAGAAAAGGACGTGGGGATTACAATGAATCATACACTGAATACGAGTCAACAGGGTGATGCTCTTGTGAAAAAGGCAAGTGTCATTCTGAGGTGTACTAACAGCAGTTAATTGTTCTGCTCTACTCAGCACTGGTGAGGCATTGGCTGGACTATTGTGTCCAGTCTTGGGCACTACACTTTTAAAAAAGACGTGGCTAAATTGGAGAGTCCAGAGAGGATAACAAAAACGATAAGAGGTTTAGAAAACATGGTTTGGAACTAAAAGAGGTTGGAACTATGAGAAACGATTGAAAGAACTGTGCATGTTTAGTCTAGAAAAGAGAAGACTGAGAGGGGATATGATAACAGTCTTCAAATATGTAGACAAGACTGTTCTGAATAGGACAGTGATCAACTGTTCTTCATGTTCACTGAGGGTAGGACACAATTAACTAGCTTAATTTTCAGCAAGAGAGATTTAGATTAGATATTAGGAAAACTATCCTTAGAGTTTGAAAGTTTAAGTGTTGGAACAAGTTACCTAGAGAGGTTGGAGGTTTTTAAGGACAGCTTAAATGTATGCCTGTCAGGGTATACTTAATCCTGCCTCATCATTAGGGTGGGGGGGAGGGGGAGAGAATGGACCAGATGATCTCTTGAGGTCCCTTCCAGCCTTATAGCCATTTCTAGGATTCTGTGTAGCTTCATCTCCTCATAAATGAAATGTATTCTCCATCAAGTTCTGGAGAGGTGTTTACTTTGTTTTCTACTGCAAGGGCAGAGGGGCACAAAGATACCTCCCTCATGCTGCAGTACTGCACAATAAAGTGCATATCTTTGCTTAAAGCGTGTGGCAATTGCCTCTGTCAGAGACAGGATACGAGATCAGACAGGTCCCTGGGGTGTTCCAAGATGACCATTCTAACAAGAGCTTTCCAATACACGAAGCAACATCATAGACCTTTCAAAACACACATTTAGTTTTGTTTTAACCACAAGAAGATGATACTTGCCCATATTTTTCCGCAAGTTCCTTTGCCTCCTCTTCTTTCACCATTCTCTGGTCTTCCATATCACTTTTGTTTCCACATAATACAATATCAGGGTTTTCACAATACGCATGCATTTGTAGCTGGCCTAACAGCAAAACAAACAGCAAAAGCAGGACTTATCTTATTCTGTTATGTATAATGTTCACTTAGAACATGAGTACCTTTTAAAAAGGGAAATGGAGAACTTGGGGAAGTTATTCTCGGACATGAGAAAAATAAGTTTGGGGCCAATTTCTCACCCGTTTTCTTCCCCAACCTTTTTTTTTTTTTTTAAATATTTTATTAAAAGCAGTAGCAATATTTGCACCCCAGTGGGATCTTTGCTGCTTATAAGTTCATCTGGTCCTGCTGCTTACTCTATCTTAGATGTTTATAAGACCCCCATTACTATATGATTCAAGAGCTTAAAATCCCTAATGTATTTACATTCACAACACCCCAGTGAAGTAGGGAAGTGCTTTTATCCCCATTTTACAGATGGGAAACTCGGACACAATTTGCCAAAGGTCACCCAGGAAGTCTGTGGCAGAGCAGGGAACTCAGCCTAGTCTCCCGAGTGCTAGGACCCCAGACCACCCTTCTCTCCATGTGAAGTCATTACTCCACTTTGGGACACTCATCTCCACAATCAGTTGTGATGCCAGAGTGTTTTGACATCAGTTGAAAGACAAGCAGATTATCTCAAACAAAAATCCTACTTCAGTCCAAGCATGCCTAATATTTAAAAAGCAGGACAATACAGAAAATACACGGAACGAGCCAAATCCATTCAAACGGCAATTCCACTGAAGTCAAGGGCACAATATTTGTTAAGATTTTCCATAACACTCTCAAAGGTCTTCAATTACAGTACTGGAGAACGGAGTTTTTATGATATACGGAGGAAAGGACGTTACCATAGACCAGTAGCCATGGATGGTTTTCGATATTCTGTACACGTGCCTCTTTTCAATAACAATTCATGCAAACTGGTTTTATGGATGTGCAGATTTTATGTTAAGCACAATGTTCCACCCCATCAGCCAGTAGGGGACATCATCCAGTATTGCCCATTACCCCTCCCCGATACTAATGGCTCTGACTAGGGGACAAAATGCACCAAACCTCTTGCTATGGTTCAGTGGAGTGGAGCTGGGTAACATGCCTGCACCCATTGCCAGCCAATCACTGGAAATCCAAATCACTGAAGCAGATGTGCCTCAAAATCCCTTGAGTGCTAGATTGTGAACCCACAGTCTAAGGATGAAGGATATGCCTATGCGCTTTTCCAGTGAGCTGCTGGCAATGGGAAAGTGAGTACTTCCCTGTTCCTGTTGCATTAACAGTTAGGCAAGTGCTTCCTGCCTCTTCCATAACAAACTCCAGAACAAAACTCCCAGGTGTTTAGTGGTGACAAGCTCTCAATCAAAAGAATCAGGACTGAGTTTAAAGTTGGCTGATTTCAAATTTAATTACTAAACATCACCCAATTTCACATTGCATTACGAACATCAGGGGCACGAAACCAGCCTGACTGAGGTTTTGTGAGTGCAGCAAGCCAGTTAAGAAAGCCAAGGCTTCAGATACAGTGTTGGAAACCAGATTCACTCACAGCTATTTTATGCAGATTTCCATTTTGTTCCTTTCTAGAAAGCTTTAAGTCAAATATTTTTGGCCCTAACCCCTTTGTGGAGCTCCATATTTCTAAACGCAGCACAGGAAAAACAGTGACATACAATTAAAGAAGTGACATACTTATCCAGTTTCTGACATTGAGAAAGCTTTGCTCATTTGTCAGATCGAAGAGGAGAAGAAAGCCCATAGCATCTCTGAAGAAAGCTGTTGTCAAGCTACGAAACCTAGAAATACAAAGCATAGCTGTAGCTGGTTTCCCTTTCATAAGGTATAGCTGATGAGTCAATTATTTTGAAAAATGATCATACTATAAAATAGGCAGACAAATGAGGTAATCTAAAATTTAATTGTACTAGAACCACCACTAGTCAGGTCTGATTTCTGCTGACATAAGGCCTGAACCTGAACCAATTAAGTTACTATAGGCCAGATCCAAGTCCAGTGACGTTAGTGGAAAGACTCCTATCAATTTCTGTACGCTTTGGATCAAGCCTTACATTACACAGCACATTTTGATCAACTTGAAAAAAGCATCTAATTCAAAGTGAAATTCAAATCAAATCCGATGAATTGAGCTGTAGCTCACAAAAGCTTATGCTCAAATAAATTGGTTAGTCTCTAAGGTGCCACAAGTACTCCTTTTTTTTTTTTTGCGAATACAGACTAACACGGCTGCTGCTCTGAAACCTGTCAAATCATGTTGAAATTCATGACTGTGCATTTAAAATTTGACAATATTTTAAAACATTGTCAGTCCAAAAATGTGGCGATATTAAAGCCTTTTGAAACACAAATAGGACACATGAAGAATATGCACAACTTTTACTTTCTATATGAAGAGAAACTGCCGACAATATTCAGGACAAAAACTGGATTCCATGCAGGATAGAACATTAGAAAGTGACTCTCACTAGCCATCTACCTGATCTTTACAAAGGAAGGGATGAATCCTGCATCTCTACGTCCACATCAAAGACAATGGAGGGTTTGCCTACCTAAGAACTGGTAAAGACTGCAGGATGTGACCCACAGATAGCTACTGGCTTTGGTCTTGAAAGAGGGCAAATGGTTGGAGATACAGTGCTAGATATAAATTTGCTAGCACAGCATAATATATATATCATCCTCAATAGTTACCATTCAAATAAATTAAAGCCACTTCTAGCTGCCTACAAGAGCTAATGAAAGCCTCAACAGAGTGCAAGTAGCTATAACCAAATATGCACTGCAGACTTCTGGCAGAACCCACATTCTGACCTCATGTGTATGGCTTCCACTGAGTCTTAATATCTTCAGAAGAATGAATGAAAGAACAAGAAGATAAATTAAGAAAATAGATTATATAGCCAGATGAGAAAGAGAAGCTAGAAAAACAACAAAAAAAGTTTATAGGTAAGAACAACCCACCCACCCCGCACCCCCGCCCCAGGGAAATTGTGATCACATTGCTGTTAACATCAGAATAAGGGCACATTTTGATTCATCTAGAGGCATGCTCATAAAATGCAACAGACAACAGGAGAATTCATGCACTTGAGTTCAGTTAATAGTTTAGTGAGCACAGTCACATTTGCTTCATATAAAGGCCACACCTTTCCTGCCCTGCAGTGTCCCACAGTTGCAGATGTATCCTCTGTCCTCTGCCACTAACGCCATCTGGCCCGTTGGATCTATACATCTGTAAAGAGACAATTTTTCAAGATAGAAGTGTCAGCAGTCCACTCTCAACAGCATTGCAAAAAACTGCCGTTTAAAGTATAATACTTTAATCAGTCTTGATGCCAATAACAATCTAATGCATTGTTGATCTAAGAATCAACACTACAGACAGACACCATCTCTTTGCCTTATAAGGCTGAGTTGTAGGCGCCCGCTTTGATCCTGCCCTCTAGTAAAATGTTTAAGAAAAGAAAAGCATCAAATGAGACAAGAGAAAATGTTTCCAATAACCTAAGAAGAGCTAAAGAGAAATTCAATGTAGTTATGATTTGCATTAGGCAGGCTTGATTCTTTTTAGTTTTACTATTACCGTTTCACTCTGTTCAAATTGAAACAATTATAAAAGCACAATCAGATAATGTAATGTGGCAATATATTTGTTCCATTAACAGAACTACGTCAGCAAAACAGAATATGACTGTAGAGATAATGACTTCTGTTTAACTGTCACAAGGTTGCTAAGAAGAATCTAGTGTAGATCTTACCATATTATTTAGCAGGTGAATATAAATAAAGACATCTGTTGAATATGAAGAGCATCAAATGGAAATAGTGTTTCAAGTCATTGTCTAGAAGACATTTTCAGTTTTGGTTGTCCTCTCCTTTTCCTATTGGTATTACTGAACTTTAATCTTAGGGTTATGGATATACAGGCAATATCATTGGCACAGAATGTGTCACAGGATAATTGTCACACAGTGTCAGACAGGCATATCAAAGCAAAACCATCAAGTTTATTTTCCAAGCAAGAGACAGTTATTCATTTTGATAATTTTGTTTTGGTTCCTCCATTAGAACAATTACTCACCAATAAGCAGCAAGTCTGAACAAGAACATTCTGCACCAAGAAAACCCCTTGGTACTCATACATGTTGAGTGTGGGGTGAGTAGCCCAGGTAAAGTGACTCTGCTGAAAGTCATCTGAAACCCCCGTACCCGTATGCTAACAAGATGGGCTTGGTGCCAACTAAGAACGTGTAAGTGCGGCAGGGAGCAGCGTTGCAGTGGTATGGTAATCAATGCGGTTCTCCATTGCCTCAAATCAAAAATAACATTTCCCACACATTTTAGATAATTCAAGAGCCACCTCCTGAATTCTTTGAAGACAATGGGAGAATGGGTTTCCCAGGTAATCAGAGCCCAGATCCAACACCCAATGCCAGATTATTTTCTGTACTGGATGCCCTGTTGGTATAGTAATATTATGGCATGAATTGTTTACAATATTTATTGACAGGATCCTCACTTCAGATAAAATTTCAGCAACTAAAGTTTTCCAATTTTATAAAAAATGGCTTTAGAATATTCAGGATGGATCTCTAAAAAGCGGTTAAAAGGAGGAAATCCTGTAGATATCCATTCAAACTTTGTTGCATTTAAAATCGAGACCTTGTTAAATATATGTATTAGAGTAGCTTTTAGTTTTCACATTTTGACCTCGGATGCTTAGGAGTTTGGAAAACATAGGCGTCCTACAAGCGCTGCCCCTTTCATTTAGAAAGTATTAATTATTCACCACTGCCCTACCGTGTATTTTTCAGTGGTGCAAAAAATTAACACGGTTGTCTTTGTTTACTAGCCACTTTGGCTTATAAAGAAATTTATGTCAATACATCCTCAATTGGGGCCAGTTCTGCAGGCCTTCCCTTGTGGAAAGTCTACCGATGAGAATGGCAGTTCAATTTACAGGGAATGGTCTGAATGCCATAGCATCATCCGTTGCTATCAGTACAGCTCACTGAATTTGGTTTATTAGTTAACTGCTTCTGCAGAAGGGAGTAACAAAATAATTCTTTTGTGGACCTCACAGAAACAGCCTTTGTTTTATCTGCAGTTCCTAGAGAGACAAGAAGGTATTCTGTGCCCATGATATATGCTCGACTATGCAGTGACGATCAGGAGATCAGGTTTTAAAACAGTAATTTTTATGCAGCTGATGGCTAGATTTTTTTTTTAAAATAATTGTACATTCAAAATAGCTCACAGAGTTGCTGCAACTTACCACTCTCTTTTCCCGAAAGTCAATACCCACTGTTGTGATAAATCTGGAATTAAATTTGCCATCTGTGTACTGGTAAAGGATGCTGGTCTTTCCTACTCCAGAGTCACCAAGTGCTAGGAATTTTATGAGGTAATCATAGTCTCCATCAGACATAGTGAGATCTTTGTAGACCACCTTTACAAAGCAAAACAAAAGAACACTTCTCTCATTTCATTACACAAAGAAAATGGCAGTATTCTGAATACATACGTTTGTTAATTCTAAGTCTCCACAAAAACTTGTTTGCAACTTACTTATTTAAAATAAAGAGAAGAAGAATGGGCCTGATTTTGCCCTCCTTTACACTGGCTTTATTCTGGTGTAACCCCACTAAAGGGCAATGATGGAGTGGAAGGTCAAGCTTAACATTTTGAAAGGCTGAAGCCAAATTCAGCTCTGACATAAAGGGACACAAATCTACTGACCTTAAGGGACACAAATCTACTGACCTCAGTGCCTAACTACAACAGAACTGATTCGAACTCAATATCAGAAGAAGCCAAGGGCCAATCTACTCTCACCCCAGTTTTACACTCGGTGCAACTCCAGTGGCTCTGACTGAATTACTCTTGATATACACCAATGTAAGTGAGAGAAAAATCAGGCTCAATTTGTTCAATAAAGAGAGAAATCAGCTGTCCCGGATAAACTCCCTGCCGGTCAATGGAAGGTACAAGTGAATGCAGGATGGTCCTCCACAATAAGAGTTGCTACAGATCATCATTTATTACAAACAAAAAAAGGAGGAAATAAAATTTTTACTTTTTATAAAAAAGCAAAAAGCAACTAAGTACAGAATTAAAGTAATCTGGAAAACCATGTACACAGCATTAGTCACAGAACTATTTACATCCGTATCTGAAAGTTGCAGCAGTTATATAAATACATCTGCAGTATCCTGCTGAACTAGTGAACTAGAATACTAGTTCACCAGAGCATACTAGATTTGGAATACTGAAGAATCTATTTTATTCTCTCCACTTTGCCCACCACAAGCAGCAATTCAAAAAAAAAGGCACTGTACTGCAGTAATCAAACTATATTGCACATTTTTGGGGGATGGGGGGTGAATGCACCATACACACCAGGTTCTTTTAAAAACCACTTAACAAGAAGTGCTCCATGTCTTATGCAAAATGAATTTGGCAGGAGTTTCAGGAGATGCTCCTCTGGATGATCTAAGAAGACTGACCTATCCTCTCAACTTAAGTGTTGCTTAAAGAGTTCATTTTCTTCATTAGTCATTGAAGACAGATAATCCAAACAGTCTCTCCAACACTTTCCATCTATGTTCTTGATGTAGAAGTCCACAATTAATATAAAACCTCACTACCCTTTTTATAAACGGCATGATGGGAACACTGTTAGCATCATTCACTATGTTGGGTCACAGTTACGTTCAACCTACTTAAAATGCCCTTTAGGTACAACTGGGGGGAGGGATAGCTCAGTGGTTTGAGCATTGGCCTGCTAAACCCAGGGTTGTGAGTTTAATCCTTGAGGGGGCCATTTAGGGATCTGGGGCAAAAATTGGGGATTGGTCCTGCTTTGAGCAGGGGGTTGGACTAGATGACCTCCTGAGGTCCCTTCCAACCCTGATATTCTATGATTCTATGATATGGTATCTGTACTAGGCCTTTAAAACTAATTTGGGACTTAAATTGTACATGCATGGTCAAATTTTCAAATGCCACCTGAAACTGAACCCCAAATTCTCTATATCTACCTTCTTGTATGAAAACAAGGATACGAGAGTGTAACTGGCAAATCCAGGTTCATGTGTGCACAAAAACTTGGATTAAAAGAAAACCAACAACAAAAAATCCCCCTCCCCCTCCGTGGGTGCAATTTTAGAAGCTAGTTTGAGATCCCTTGAAAAATATGGTGTTCTTTGAAAGGCACATGTGGACATTACAACACAGAAAATAGCCAGCTAAACAAAACCAAAACACTAGAACTGCCTATCATCAAAACTTTTATTTTCCAAGATTTCACTTTACGCAAAATTTTGAAGAATTAGTATTTTCACATGGAATACATGCAAATGAATGTGACTGCCTATGTTTCTTATGCAAAGCTATTTTTCCCTCCAAAACAGCCTGTTTTTCCACTTAAAAACATATCTGAGCAACAGTTTTCATGGAAAAAAAGACCATTTTTGAGTTTGTAATAAAATAGACAATTTTCAGGTATTTTTGTAATTTATTGATGATAGTTTGAATAGTTTTACCAACCACTAAACCTAGGTGTTTGAATACACTACTTGACACTACTATAGAAATTTAAAATTTCTAGTCTTACCCCCTTTGCGGATTTTAAAAGAAAAAAAAGTATAAGATTTAAAATTTGAAGTGAAAAATTAGGTGTTTCAAAATGCCTAGACTGTACAAAGCAAGTCCTAAACCAACCACGTCAATTCCAGGGAAAATTCAGTGTATGTGAAAAAGCCATATGGGGATTGTGCTCTAGTAGTTTCCTGTTTGAGAATAGCTACTGATCTCTCCTTCCCCAAAAGCAGTATCTTGCTGCCTTAAACAGCTTTTAAATGAAAACATCTAAAAAGAAACCCGAGTAGCTCTTCCAAAACCAATAGAAATCTAGCACAAAAAATTACCAATTACCAGGGGAGAAAAGGTATCAAAATATGAAAAAAGAGAGACCATAAAATGAAATACATTCTTCTTGCAAAATGTGAAATTTGGGCTGCAAATAATATTATTAGAACTGTAATACTATTTACTGCTCAAACTATACAAAGCTGTAAGGCTAATCACTTCATTAAGTCCATAGTATTTCAACTACATTCTTCGCACTACAACTGTCCTCAATAGCGTAGCATCAAATTCAGTCCTCAGTCTCTACTGCACAACTTGAGGTTTGGAACAAACTCCAGACCTCTAGTGTGTGGGTGTCAATCACCACCCCTAAGGTAGGAATGTAACTATCTCTGAGGCTTTGGCTTTGTTGCAAAATTTTATTTTGTAAACAGAACATGACCGTGATAAGTTTGGTTAGCCAACATGGTGCAGACCCCATGACGCTAGTCAGTGCAGACAAGAGAGAAGATTTTTCAAAGGCACAAGTGGCAGGTAGGTGCTTCATGGCCACTGACTTTTAACTGGAGTTTTGTGCCCAGCTGTCATTTATGCTATTGAAAATTTTCCCCAAGCATGACTCCTGTTCTGCATCATTTCAGCTACTCATGATGGAATCCTGCTGGCGTCAGGGTTGATGAACAGCTGATACAAATTCTCCACTTCTACACTCAGCACAAAGTCATGGTCAGCTTTGGGTCAGCTAAATCAACTTTCCACACTCAAGTTTTAAAACATGATAAAATGTGGTCATGACATTAAGCCCTCAGAGATGAGACGAGACGAGACATTCAGAACTAGCAGGATGATTTCTATGCTGTGTGTGCAGACTTGACACTCCAGAAACACATTCACCTACCCTCTATGCTAATAACATGATTGCTATAACCCTAACATTTTTTAAAATCTTCACATTGACTATGACTCCTTCCTAATGTTTAGTTTGTGATTAAATTAATGCTTCCACATCTTCTGCCAAGCTACCTTGCAGGCTTTTGTAAACTTTCCCTCTTTTTAAATATACATTCTGTTGTACATAAATCTCTAAAATTACTAGTATTTTAAAAATGCTTAGATACTCAACAAGTGCAATTTGGGACTAGTGTGTTACGAAGACAAGTCACCCCTCTCTGGGGGCTTATCCACATGCTGCGTTAGTCTGCACTAGAGAGGTGTAAATTCTAATGTGCATTGGTGTGTTGTGCACTGACTGGCCCATATGGACCCTGCTGGTGTGCACTAAAGTAAGACTAGTAGTAATGCTACCCTTTACTCCTAACAGACTGCTGTTGTGAGAAAAGTACGTGTGTATAAGGACCTCAGAAGACAGATGCAACAGAAGTGCAAAGTATTGGCAGCAGCAGCACGTTTGGAAATGTGGAAAACTATTATACTTCATCTCACTTTGTATAGTTTGCTAAAACTTACTGTAAATAGCTACCGCCCTCCACTGAGCAAAGGACAGAGCTAGCACAAGATTAAACATACACACCTTCCAATAGAGGAATTTGCAGAATATCTGTTTGGATAAGCTGCCGCACAATACAGACTGCTTTTTACCCCTGCTTTAATTCACCATATAGCTTGTAATTAACAATTTCCAAATGGCTGGGAACAGGGCCAAGAGTCCTTAACATGAAATAAAAGAAAAATACATTCCAATCAATCCTTGACAAGGAAAAGTTCTTCCTCGGTCAAGTTAAAGTTCATATCACTCCCACCTCTCACCCTACAAGATAAACCCAGTATTCAAATATTTCCAGGATGTGTTTACTGTGAAAGCATGAACCTAACCCTGAAGAGAAGCAAGAGTTATTTTCAGTCAGTCCCAGCCCTGTCCTCCTCCCTGTACAAATATTTAAAAAGTGTTCTCCACCTTCCGCCTTACAAGGCTTACATTCCAGGAACCTAGAAGCCTCCACATTTCTACTATATAAATTGACACACTGTGTTAAATAGCAAAATCCTTCAAGGAGTTAAAAAAACAAAACAAAACCTGATACTTTTTATTGAGGTTTATTTTCTTTTATACAATAGGCAGTGTTTGTTATTTTAAAAAAAAAATGTATTACATGTATATAAATCTTTACCCATTAATGGAAAAAAGGTGGAGATGGGACAGATGAAAGTGATGGTTTGGTGCCCAAAGTCATAGATTTAAAATACACAGAGGATGAAATCCTGCCCCCAGTGAATTAACGGGAAAACACCCATAGGCTTTAGTGGGGCCAGGATTTCACCCAGCTCTCTGTAATCACCAGCTCAGACCCTAGATAGGCAAGTTCAGTCCCTCATTCTTCCAGGTAATAAAACCTATTTCTTTGCCATTTGCTTTCAAAACAAAATTCTTGTCTGCTCAGGCTGGACATTAAAAATCCCATGGAACTTCCATAAATTGGGGTTTGCCTGGATCCTTTGGCAAAAATTCCCTACCCACTTCTGTATGTTATGCATTGCTCTGCGTCAGTTGCTACTCTCTATCCTAAAGATGCCCTCATTTTAGTGTTACCATATGCACACAGCTTGTAAAGCTCTTTGGGA